GCAGCAGGAACGAGCGCGACACGCTTCACATCAGCAATCTACCCCTCCTAACCAGCATGGACAGGCTCCCCGCGGAGATCGTCGACCTCATCTTCCGGAACATCGCTAGCCCTGGAACCGGCCTGCGTCACATCGCCCCGTTCCTCCGATGTGGTCGACGATGGTTCGAACACGCCGTCCCCTTCGTCTGGAAGAGAGTGTGCCTCCTGGCCATTACACAAGAGTGTATAGACAATAAGAGGAGGGCCCTGTAACCGTCACAAATCGAGACACTCACCGGCTGGGACGGACGGAAGTGCGGCTGCGGCCTTTGCCAGGCGAACGACCCACCAAACTCACAACCTCGCCAATACCTCCTTCCCCATGTGGACCTCACCTCGATCTACCGACTCCCATTCCCAAGGCTGAGGCAGATACAGCACATGAGGTTCAATGACCCAACGTTACCCGAAATGATCGAAAGACTCCACACAGCAGATGGCAACACCATCACGAGACTGGAAGTCAGCCAGTGGCATGTCGAGTCCGCCCTCCCGGACTTCGTATCATTGCTGACGAATCTCTCCCAACTCCGCGTCGACCATCTGGCATACCATCACGACGAAGTCTCAGTTGTGCAGCCAGCGTGGGACAAGCTGACGTCCGCCAGCATGTTCCGAAACCTGACGTACGGATGTGACGAGTCTGCGATAATCATACACGCCCTGTCCGACTGCCCAGAGCTGAGCAGGCTGCGCATTACTATAGAGCCGGCCATCTCGAGCCTTCTGAGTCCCCTACCCCCAAACCACGCGGATTGGTACAAGCGCCGAGGTCAACCCTTCAGATCTCTCACCAAGCTCGACATCAGACCAATGAGAGAGTGCACCTCCCTGTATCAAGAGCTCGCAACCATGTCAGCCCTGAACTCGCTCACCGTACGGTTCAGGCCAGCCAGCATCTCGCCCGCAATCCTCACGTACCTGTCGAGAATGACGCAGCTGCAGGAGCTCCGCCTGATTGGAACGTCTCGCGGTGGACGGATGGGGCTCTGGAGCCGTGGGACGTTCCCCCCCAACAACGCTTCGGATGCGATCAGAGAGGGATGAGCCAACTCAAGACGTTCCAACTCAGCCTCCCCGGCGTCTACTCCCTCACGCCCGGCCAGGGAAGCCGCCAGCACATGTTGGAGTCGATTGCACGCAACAACCAAGAGATAGAGGAGCTGGTTCTCGACGCGAGCCTGCGGCTGCCAGCAGCATCTTCTTCCTGGCGGCCCCCACCACCAAACTCGACACGCCACGACACCGGGAAATCAATGAAGATAACCCTCCACTCCATCAGCATTCCAAGGGAAGGAGAGCCTGGGCCGGTCGATGAGGGCGTAGCGGAGGTCGTCAAGCAGCTCCACACTATATTCCCAAAGCTGCGGTCCCTGTTCACCTCCGCGGACGAAATGGAACACTGTGCGAACCGTAACGGTCCGTTGCGAGGGTCGGGTGGGTTAATCAAGCCATCTTCGTCGCTTGCGGTCTAGGCGGTCTCCCGAATTGCGCATATGGACCTGCTGTTCTCAAAAGACCGACCGATCTCAGTCGAATCGAAACCGTCCCGCAATGGAACGCAGGCATCCACGTTGCATCAGATCCCTTGTCGGATCGTCCGCCCGGCCGCCCGCCCGCCCTGTGACGAGCGAGAGAACATACCCGCAATCGAGAGGGGAGTATTCGTGTCCGAAGAGGAGAAGGAGCGACCGCAGTTCGCGACGTAGGCACTAGGTAGGGAGGGCTTGGGGCACGTCTAGGGAAGTGGAGGATCAGGGCATCGCCTGCATATAGGGCAAGGGTATCATAGCGGCCCAACCGAACTTCATAACACCTAATAAGCCTTGGACCTGTACATCTCAATCCACGGCGATGTGCGCAAGATTTCATTCACTCATCGTGACAAGTAGTAGGTAAACGCCTGTGCTATCAAGTCGAACCGAAAGGCCTGTTTAAATTTGAAGGCCTTGACAGCTAAGCCAGCCAGCCTACGAATACAAGCGACCGATATAGGTACAACCAGCCAGCAAAGGAGCTCTGAGGAAATCGGCTGCTCTACCTCATCTGACGCGCGGTATAGAGACAGCACCAAACAGCCAGAAGAAGGCCCCAGCCCCTGGGAGCGGAAGAGAGGAGAGGAGAGGAGAGGAGGGGGGCTATCAAAGCCAAAGCCGGCTATTAGAAGTGCTCATTCGACTTGGCCCATGACCGCACCCCTTACCATCTCAACGACTGCATACCAACTTTGCAATAGCTAACACCACTAGCCCAGGCCAGACAAGAAAATGGCTTGAGATCAGAATGGAGAGTTAAGGTAGCCTTATAAGAGCAGATGAGGGGCGATCACCCGGGGGCGTAGGCTCAAACCAGCAACCCTAAGCATAGCGCACACACACGCACACCCTTCTTCCAAGGATGTCTTCCAAAGCCTCTCAGCAGCACCCGCCACGCCTTCTTTATAGAGGTTGGTTCTTTGATATGACACTGCCAGCTGTCTATTCTCAGAGCCGAAGGGGGCGGGAGGCTCGGCAAATCGCTATTCGGAGAAAGTCATGCGGTTTTTCGCCGCAGCTAACCAGACGCCAATTAAACAGCCTGGAAGAAGCATCCTTGCCGGACCGCGACATCGCAAGTCTCTCATTAGAGACACCTAGAGGCGTCTTGACCAAGGCATTGATCTAAGGTATCTAGCGTTTAACCTAACACCGCTGGGATCTGAACAATACCTTAGTAATGGACCTCAACTTTCAGCATAAGCGAGGCTTTCTACAGCATGACGTTGGACTAGGACGTGCGTATTACTCAATGCCCTATAGTAGGATGGAACCCTTTATTTTCCTTATACCTTTTTGCTTTTTTCTCTCTTTCTTTTTCTCATCTTTTTGGGTTTTCTTTTCTTTTTCTTCTTCTTTTTTCTTTCTTTTTTCTTTTGGTTTGTTCCCCCCCCGATATCTTCCTCCTACTGTAATCATCCTTCTTTGGAGTTCTTTCTTGTAGCTGCTGATATAGTCCTTACGACACCGTCCGGTTAGGCAGGTACATGATACTCGATTTGCAGTTTTCCTGCGTTCTTCACAGACCGAGCCTGATTCTAAATGCTTGCTTAACAGATTAAACCCCCCAACCCCTATCATCATTGTGAAGGATCCTGGGCGAAGCAGCTCATAACTCTAAAGACCACTAGTAGTGATTTCTAAAAACCAGATACTCTAAACCTGGCTCTGTAGATATGGTCCGGCCTCCCTGGCTAGGACGTCAGTTACATATAACCATGAGATGTGCCTAGCCTAGACGTCCATGTCGCATTTCAAGGTAGCGTCGAGCCCCGCGGCCGCCCCTTGCCCATAGCTTAACAGCCATGGAGTATGTTATATGGTCCTCTCGTCCCTTGAAGAGCCTCAGAGCCTTAGATCCTCACTTGTGGAAATTCAACTAACGACGTAGAGATAGCTAACCTGAGCCGGGCGCGGGTTAGGCAGTTAGGGTCATCATGGTTAGGTCGTTCGGGTTATGGTATATGTCCCTATCGTCTTAAAGATTGTGGCTACCAACTAAGCGGTGTAGGGTCAAGTATACAACCCTATGATCACTATTTACACATGTTGCTGATTTCTCTCAGCTTAAGTCTAGGTAATCCTCGGCCCAGACGAGGAATCCCGCATTGGGTTGATGCTTATATAAGCATGCATTGCATGTAATCATCGCTCGAGTCCCATCTCGCTCATGCCCACCCTCACAGCACGCTGCAGTACCTAGATATGCACTCTTTTTTTTTTCACACTTTGGTTTGTGTGAGGTACCTGTTAACATAAGGTACAACTAGTTAGTGTAGGAAATCATAAGGCCTGTATCCAAGGTAGCTGCTGCCTGTAGGTACGCATTCTGTGTGCACGTTCTAATGAGGGCGCGCAACAGGGGCGAGTGAGACCAGCCTGCCGGCTGTTAGCCTGGGCAGCCTAGACGAGCTCGCCCGATCGTCAATAGAACACCAGGCTTCACACCAAGCAGACCAGTCCATATAACGGGGAAGCCGAATAATCATTCAGGATCTCCCGCCAGTAAGATTCAAGGAGTCTGCCGAACAAGCACGCAGGTCTTTTATAACCTAATCTAAAAGCAGGTATCATGCCTTTTCTGTACTCAGCCGGCCGGATACTGTAGTGGACGAACACCCTCCATGCCAGTCGCAGCTGAAACAATGCAGGAGAGTCACCAGGTGCTGCATGGCTCAGTGGTATAATGTATCTAGCCTCACAGAGAGCTAGCTCCCTCCGCCACCTGGTGGGTATACAAGAGCACCTGCAGCAGCACATGTGTGTTTTCCAGCTCGTAGGCGACGAATTAATCCATAAAGGGTGATATCTATAAAGCAAAGTAGTTAACCCCGGCGCCCCTCCTTGTTCGCCGCGGCTGCTGCGACCCTATCTCCAAGCCGCCCATATGCCAAATGTGTAAGCCATAGATAAAAAAGTATACAAGCCGGGAGCACGACAGCTCGCCTTCTGGAATCAAAAGCAGCCGCCCCACACAACCAACGCCATTCCCCGCCGCCCCCTCCCGGAACCTCGCACTCCTCTCCTCGGCGGCCTCGGGCGGCTCCTTGTACCATGGTGCTAGGTCCTGCACCTTATTAACCCCTCTAAGCTTCGGAACAGGCCGAGAACCCTCCGCCTCCTCCTGCGGTCCCTCAGAAACGCTTCTGTCACTGATCTATCGCTTTCAACGAGGAAAACCCCCGCAGCCCTTTCAACCATGTTCGTGCAGATGTCTTCGCCGTCGGGGCGGTGGCGCTTAGCCCCGACCCGCAAGACGAAGTCTCGCGACAGCTTCGCTTCGTAGTGCGTGTGTAGGGCCATCGTCTGTCGCGTGACAATGTGCCACGAGTGCGCGATGGCCTCTTGCATAAGCCTATCGTCCGCATGCCCTCTCGAGAACACGTCAAAAGACGAGGTGTAGTCGTTAAAGTAGGCCTGGTGCTCAGCGTCGCCCCAAATCCTGTTCGTGGCTTTGGGCGTCCAGCCAAGCCGTCTGCCTTGCCTGGAGGAGCCCAATAAAGACCTCCTTGAGCAGGATGAGCATCGCCCGATTAAGCAGCCTGTCAGACAGAATGATTGCCTCCGCTACCGAGGACAGTGTCATGCGCGAGGCGATAGACATCAGGCCCTGCCCGCTTGGCTTCCCGTTAGCCCATGCGGCAAAATACCAGTGGTGGACGAAGGACAAGTAGGCATATACGCACTCAGGCCGGACGTCGTCGTCGTCGCTAAAGTCTACAGACCTGTCGAAGCCCTCCCTGTAGAATCCCATTATGCAGCCTTGAAAGTACGACGAACACTCGACGATGATGTCGCGGTGGACGAGGAACGTTGTAGAGTGGCACCGTATTATGATTAGCTGCGTTGTGTCCCTGTAGGAAATGTTAGCGAAACCGCCCAGCCTGCTGCTACACCTTAGCCTACTCCCATGCTGATGAGGAGGCGGCGTTCCCGATACGTAGTCTCTAACCTGCTCTTCTGGGCTGCCGCGCCCTTTGCGAAGTCGTATAGTAGCCGCACCATATCGCCTTAGGGGAACAGCACAACAGAATAGGTGTGCGTGCGTGTATGTGGTGTGTGTGTGTGAAGAGAGAGAGAGAGAGAGAGATGGCCTAGGTGACGGCCGGCGGTAAGGTACCTAAGGTATGTTGAGGTTGTATAGTGTAAGGTGCCTTAGCGGTCGCTTGATGTGGTGGTGTTAGTGTTACTGAGGTGGACAGTGCAGTTGGTGGGAATAAGCGGCTCTGACCACCTGCGGGCTGGTGGAAGGTGGCTTTGGTGCATTAGAAGGAACCTAAGGGTCATGGGATTGCAGAAGATGAATGTGAAGTTGGGAGGGCGGGAAGGGTAAATTGCGAGGAGGCGTCACCTTCCCGACGGGAGAGTTGCATCCACTTGCTCTAACCAACGCCGAGATAAAACCACAACTGCAAAGACGACGCCGGCGGGAAGGCCCATGGGATGACTTCCGTAACGAGAAGGAACGGCGGGGGACCTCCTGGAATCGGCAGCGCAGGCACTGCCCGGGCCGGCTAGTGTGCTTAGGTAGGTTTATGCAGATGGCAAGTGGTGAAAACCGCGGCTCGGTCGGGTGCGGGCCGGAAGGCGCAGGCAGCCCAGGTAGGTAGGTACGCGTGTAACCGGGTACCTCGGGAAGGACCTCCTGGGGACGTAGCTTGTTAGCGTGTAAAGATGAACGAACACCTAGGAACACTCAAACCGCCGCTTAGAGGAGGGTATACTTACCACGGGGCAACACTATACATAGACAAAATAACGACACAACGTTGCAGTTGTCCTGGGGAGCGGGGTCGCTGCTGCCAACACTGACAGTGTAGTTATGTGTGGACCCTACCTTACCTTAGGTGATACTCTCCGTCTGTCTAGGGAAAGGTACGGTTGAGGTAGTTAGGGGTGCAGAGGATAAGTGGCGGGGCAGAAACTAAATCGACGTTAGCTAGAGACCGCGGGTAATCTTAGGCGGGGCGCTAGAAGCAGCAAAATCAAGCCGGATGCTCTTAAGGCGTGTATAATAGGCAAGACCAGAGCTTGGACCAAGGGGGGATATAGTAAGAAATTAGGATCCCAGAGTACTTCTGCAACGGGCGCGGTGGGTGACCCCTTCCCTCCCTCCTACCTTATCTTTGTTTAATACAACGTCCTTTTTGAAGTGGAATTAGAGCGTGAGGTAGTGAGACTCCTGACAGAGAGCAGGTACGGAGCACGAATCACCTCACAGCACCTTATACTCGAGCCGTATAATATGTAATATTTGCGAACCGTTCAGGCAAAAGGCTGTCTGCTTGTCTATTTCAAATCGCTCTTTCTCCCTCGCTCACCACCACTAGCAGCCTCAAGCCTCCTTCCTTCACAAATCCCATCCCACAAACCCCTACCTACCATGCCCATCGAAAACAACAAGTACCTCTCATACCTTAGACTTGAGTACCTACCTATCTATCCATGGCATACCCTCCAGCGTCGTACACCCCGAACTCATGCTACCTAACTTCCTTATAGCAACCCCTCTTCACTAAAAAGCAGTACTAACACTAGCTACCTCATACAGTCATTACCATCATACGCATCTTATAATCCACGCGCATGTTTGACGCATGCATCCCGGGGCGCTACTGCTAACGCTACCGGGACCCCCCGGCCCCCCCGCCTGGCTAGAGCCCCGATTTGTCGCCATGGCTTCCTTCCCTGCTAACGCGGACCGGCCCTTCCCCTTAGGGAGACTACCCCGCGAGCTGATCGACTGCATCTTCAGCTACTACATGTCGATAGAAGAACCGTTTGAGTACCTGATCCCCTTCTCAACGGCCAGCTCGTTGTGGTTCGACCTGGTCCATCCCTCTATGTGGGCGAATGTCTGCCTGAACGCCATTACCTCTGAGGACATCAAGCCCGCGAAGCGACAGCAAGCCCACACGAAACAAGATTGATTGGGGAGATTGTCGACCCCGAGAACCACAGATGCCGTCGATGCACGGCATGGGCGCCACATAAGGTACCGTCCATTACGTCCACTTCCGAGCCGCCGAGGGGGCCCGGGCACCTGGGCGCTGGCATTGGTAGAATGGAAGGCTCCGGCGTTTGGTCCCGCAGATCGGGGCTCAGGGCTTTTACTACCACGAACGCGAAAAGATGGGGCTATGAGGGTGGAGTTCGCCCGACGCACCCATGGGTGGGTGTCTTGTTGAACACCGAGGTTGAGGCCGACGCGGAGGCTGAGGCAGAGGCTGAGGCGGAAGCCGGACGGACGACGATCACATCGTTCCAAGTTCGCATGTCGTACTCATAATCTCTTACTTGTAATTACTAAGCCGGTTGCAGTCGACAGAGGCGTACTCGGACGCTTCCAAGGCCCTGAAGATGTAGAGAACAACTTGGGGCTGCTAAAAACACCTCATCCCGACCCCTGGGGTCAGCCATTCCGCTGTCTAGAAGAATTCAGCTGTATGGGCTTTTTTCTTCGTAGCCGGGATGAAGTCTAGGAGGAGCGCTGTGCGAGTACCATTCGGCAGGGAGGTTGGAAGCGTTCCAGAGTACCACAGATATAATAATACTTCGCACCGAGCGGACTCGCCATCACTAAACAAGGATGACCTGCAGTTGGAAATCCAGCCCGATAGGCTGG